GGCTGGAGAAAACCCGGAGCGCTGCCGGCCGCCCCCCGCCCCGGGAGCTCACCTGGGAGCTGAGGGAGGCAGCGGCCCCCCTCCGTGGGATCCTCGCTGCTAATTTGGGCTGTGCAGATACCACCGAAGCACAAAAATGAGGCCAAACGGAGATGTTCGAGCGCACGAAGACTTGGGGGAAAGGGGGAGAGCTCGGCACCAGGCGCTATCTGGAAAGACGACGATTATTTTAAGTTACCTCAATGACTGTTTCGAAAGGGACTGTAATCCCAGCCAGCGCTGTAGAAGGCGATTCAAACACCTTACAGTTTTGGCTGCAGCCCCAGCGGCAACTCCGATCATTCCGGCCTTTCATGTTCCACTAAACCGGTTGTACTTCGGGACAATAAAGCTTTAAGACCTAACATAAAGGCAATTATTAGTCATTAATATCACGACTCGTTTAGGTATTATGCTCAAAATGGTCTGTAATGATTTGTGATCAATCAAGCTGATGGTCTTGTTAGAAATGAACTTCCATTTTCAGCTAGAAAACCGAAAAGAAAGAGAAGGATACTGTTAGAGGGAAGATTTCTTTAACCTAGAAATTGTATCTGTCGAAAATCCACAAAGAAAAAAACCAACAGTTAAAATGGTGAATCTACCAAAACAGAAGGACATTAAGCAATGATTTTATGGATTCTTAAAGTTATAATTGAAAAGACCCCATCTAATTGAGGTGTAAACACCAAGACTGGTATTTCAGATAATACTCTGCTGAAGTCACTAAAATGGGAGGAAAGGGCATCAGACCTAAAAACTGCTGTTTGACTTCGCCAGTTCTGGAGGCCTCGGCACACCTTTCCCTTTCCACCTGTGCTATCAGCTATTCCTTTGAGGAGATCCAAACTCTCTCATCCTCTGTCTGTGGTGCAGAGGTAGCTCTGAACCAGACTGCAAAGCAATTCACGAACCCTTTACTGAATTTTGACAAGCGACTTGCGAATTGCTCAGGAGCTGGCAAAAACTAAAACTAGAACTTCCCCTGGCTGGATGCTTTCCAGCAGCAAAGCGCTGAAATTTGGTCCTTCTACTTGGGAAAACTTGTCTCTTCTTAAAATTACAAGAGTCATTAAAAAAATCACTAAATAAAAGGAAAAGATTCATTTTCTTTAGGGCCTGAGTGGAGTGGTACCTGTTCAGTGGGCTTCAGCCTACTCAAAAGCCAGCCAGAACATTTGTAATACTTGTACATTTTTGACCGGGGTTTTTTTTGCATGCCAGGTCCACTGAATTTCAGGGCCACATTCTGCCCTCCTTTACACCGGATTTGTAACACAGCAGGATCTGGCTTCGCATAATTGCGCTGTGGATGCACCCAGCCCAGCAGTGCCTGCCTTCCGGAGCTCAAAGTCCGCAGCAGGTTTACAGTCCCTATGCCTGGGTGTGTGCACGCTATCACCAGCACTATAGGCATAACCACAAACATTTACTAAATAAGCAGCTGGGCTCCAGTCTGATATCCTTGGCCCCAGTGTTGCCATGTTATACTCGGCAGTAAAACATCTGAGCCTGTATCGTCCGAGTTTTAAATGCTTCTGACTTTGTTAGGTTGCTCCAATTTTACACTAGCAAAAGAGAAAACTCACCGCCCCTTCCGTTTCCTACTGTAACTCCCCTGGGCCTTTCTTGGCAGAAGTTTATAGTCACGCTATAACTCAGATTGTTCCTCCGAACACAACTAGTACAACCTGCATCCACACTCAGAAGCACTCTCAACTGAGCATAGGTCACAATACAAATCGATATGAGTAGAGCTCCTTCCTATGCTTTGCACACAGCAGAGGCTCCATCATGGTGGGACAAGGTTAGGCTACGCAAGGCAAATAATCCTACCACCAACGGCTCCTCACATTGCCTTGCGCCCGATTTAATGAGACCTTTCTGGCCAAGAAACTCTGTTCTGCAGCTCCAGAGCAATCTGGCCAGAAGGTGTCTGCAAGGCCCAAACACGGTTGGCCCAAACTTGTTAGCAAGTGCAGAGAAACAGCCTGCAACTGAGCCACAAAACACTGTACAAGGAAGTGTGTCAGCAAAGGCTTCCAGAGGCTGCAGGAGCAGGGGGAAAAGTCTGCATGTCTGCGAGGAGATGCCACCCAAAACGCATCCCATTTTGGAACAGTGCATGCAAGGGCTTCCCGAGAAGCAGTAGCACAGATGTAACTGTGCAGTCGTAGCCTTGACACATATCCTCAAACTGCGCACACATGAAGATGACACGCTAGAAGAGAAGGAACCGAACTGCATTTTTCTACAGTGGTACTGATCGGACGTGGGCCACAGGCATAGTCTAAGCGCAGCCTTGTCTTTGAGCAAGGACAGTCAAAGCTTGCCTGATTGAGGCCAGATCCCCTGTAGATCATTCAAAAACCCTGCTGGTGTTAAAGATAAATAAATGAACAAACAGAAATCAAAGATTGGAAAGATTGGGAGGGGGGAAACAGACACTGGATCTACATAGGGCAATTCATTAGAAATACTACAGACTGCCAGGTAATCTCTGCCTATCAATGCGTGTGCTAATTAGGAAAGAGCGGCAACATTTGGTGTACTGGAACACCAGCATCCCTCACGTTTTTCAAAAAAAGAGGCAGTGAACTGCTTCCTACGTTTCTAATTGCATCCTTGGCTTTTTTCTTTCTAATTTCAGTACACGTTAATACTGTGAGATTTCATCACGTAATTGTACAACACATCTTCATTTTCTCCCTGGATGTATTTACTTCAGTGCATGCAGGAACTGGCAGGTAAATACCTAATACTGCCCCCAGAGCAGACAACTTTTTGCAAATAAAGACCCCGTCAGCATGGATAACTTGGGAAAAGCTAAACAAAGGGCCTGCCTACAGCCAAGGATACTCGTTCCACTAGAGCAGCACTCCCCATGGAGCAATGCAGGTCTCATGGGTAAGAAGCAAGCACGCTACAAGCAAAGGCGTGATTAAACACTGCTAAGACCTCATACCATCTCCATTCAGGCCAACTCAGGGGTCAATACTGACCTTCTGAAGTGGGGCCCTTCTCATGCAGGGCTCAGCCACAAATAAAAGCAAGCCCCTCAAAAAAAAAAGGGGGGGGGGGGGTGCATTACTGCAGTCTGCACTTGTACATTAGCAGGGAGGGAGCTGCACCTGTAAGCTGGGCTGCTTTCCTTGAGATTTCAATTGCTTTTTTTCTTTTTTTGCTGGTGCTACTCTTCCACTGTAACAAGGCTGCCCCACACGTCCCAAGGCACAGAGGAATCAGTTAAAACTGAAGGAAGGAATGTCCCCCCTTCTTGCTCCAATTTTAGCTCCTTTTTTCCCCCTCATTTTCTGCTTTAGTTCGTGTTTTTCTCCTTTAATGTTTTTGTGGCAGTAGGAGAAACACCATTCCCTAGAATGCATAATATGCTTAATTATCATTCTCCGTTAGTTCTCTAGGAAAAAAAAACCTACAGGAGAAATCAGTTTAATTAATGAGTATGACCAAATGCAGCCTTAGTTCTAATGCAGTATCATATATTATACGTCCAGTTGGGCAGTTGATCTTACTTGGGTAAAATGAACAGAGATGCAAAAAAACACAGAGCTCATGAATCAATATTCTGAGTGCAACTAACCCCTTTTGTATAGTTATTCTAAGCCTTCCTACAGATTTCGATGCCAACGTCTGTTCCCAAATACTGCTTTTGGCAGTAATGCAGGATTGGGCCCATACAGTCTAGTAATAGAAAGCTGTTGCTTGGCAGTACCAAGGGTTGTGCCACATGGTAAATTCATTAAGTAATCAAGAAAAAAATCCCTTAACTCCAAGATAGCTCTCAAATAATCATACCCAGTAAAAATCCCCAGTGTGTGTCAAGGACAAGGGTGGCAAGGTTTCATCTGAAAGTAAGACTTGGTGATTTAGATGCTTTTCAAAAGGGCTACTCTTCACATATTAAATTATTAAGGAAATATTATGGAACAGGATTATCAGGAAAGAAAAAAAAAGAAAACAAACAGTGTGCATTAGCTGGCTTAGTCAGAGGAGGTTTTGCTGCATTCCTCATGCATGGAGATGACTCCCTCCCTCTGTAATTCCCTGTGCACTCCCAGTCCTCTGGAGACTGCTGGTGTGCATCATCCTTGCTCCAGCTGAAACACTCTGTCCTCTGTTTGGGCTGCCTACCATTGCCGTATATCTTCTCACATCTTTTTGCCTTTTCATAAAAATCCGTGTTCTTTCCGAAATCCCATACAGGCTGTATCACCTGCAAGATGTGCTTCATTTTTGAGCCAGGCCAGACAGTTCACACTGATGCCGTCTGTATGGCACATAGGCTCCTAAAACAGTCTCCCCTTTCCACTGTGGCTTCTCAAGACACGGTGGATTGTACTTTGCATTGAGCTGAGTTTTAAACAATTTTAGGCTGCTTTTCTTTCCCTTTCAATGCTCACTCTGCAGTCTCTATCAAAAGCACAACTCATTCTTTTCTGGAACACTTGGTTACTTTTTTGAAGAGAGGCTAGGCTGATGTCCTGATACTCACCTCATACTGGGGCCAGTGGATTAAGAGAAAAAAAAAATCTGCAGATAAAACCAAAGGCTCTGTTTTACAACCAAGGAGGGAATACTTTTAATAAAGAAAAACCACAGAAATGGTGGGGAAAAAATACAGAGAGATGGCCAGTCTTCAGGCCTAATTAACCACTGGTGTAAACAGATGTCACTGCAATCAAGCCAGAAGACTTCGGCCACCCACTAGTCTTGAGCACAAACCCAACATGAGCCTGAAAATCTTAACAACATGGAGCTGTCAAACATGTGAGCCACGGACACACTTCAATACAAAGGTCATCACCATCTCCTTTATGCTGAT